GGCATTAGGGCGCGTATCTTGGAGACGTTTGTGATGCTTTTCCTGCTGGCTCTTCTCATTCTGGGCATCGTGTGGGTGGCATCAGCGCTTATAGACAACGATCCAGCCAGTATGGAGTCACTTTACGGTTCGTTTATACAATATTCTGTGTCATTTATGCTGATCAATGCCTGTTTTTGTAGGGAATAAGTGGAGAAATGGGGCTTTTTTTTGTGTGCATTAAGTGTAAATATTGAGTTACAGGTGAATTAGTTTAGCATAAAGACTAAAAGGCTTGTGGTTAACCAGGAGCTGTTTCCCAAAATGTTTTATTGAATTAATCTTCCCTTTCTTTTAGATCTTTGGGAATTTTACCTCCCCTACCTGTACTCCTGCATATCTCTGATGGGAGGACTGCTTTTACTCAGTAAGCCATTACATTTCTCGTATTATACATTTTTTAAAACCTCCTAATTAACGTGGCGCTCGTGTTAATTCAATATACTAATCGTGGTTAAAGATTTAAGCGGATCTCTTTGTTTCCTGTGCAGTGTGCACTCCTGTGGGATTGTCCCGGATGTTCTCCATCATGGGCCAGTTACTCGTGAAGCCGACAGTAAGTCCTAAATATGTTTGGTTATTCTGTCAGTAGCTTTGATCCTCGTGCTCTAAAAGATGTCAGGCGGCCATTTAAACGCGCGACACAGGACTACAAATACATCATCAACTCATCCTCCCATCTGCCATCTCTCCAGTCCCACTTTGGGCCTAATTATAACCCATTTCATCTCTCCTCCCCCCCCTCTCTTTAGATCCTGGAGGACCTGGATGAGCAGATTTACTGCATCCATTTGCAGGAGGAAGCCCTTCAGAGGAGATTAAACGGTATGTCTGTGGGAGACGTGTTGGCACATTATAGGGGAGGGGAAAGGTTGATGGAGCGCGCCACACTGGAATCAATTAGTATGGAAAATTCAGCCACACACACACAACGGTGAAAAAAATCCACACACACTCGACACGGCCTTTTTTTCATCGTCTAACTTTGTGCTAAAGGGCAGAGCGCCACGGCAGGGACCATATTTTATGTTGAGGACGTTTTAAAGGATCCATTTAAGCCACACGGGTGTCACCGTCTCTGCTGGAAATGATCGCCTCGTTTTAATGTCAGTAATAGGATGGAAATTAAATCTTTTTGGCTCGTTCCCGTGGACATTAAAAGAGACTTCTGTGTGACTTCTGGAAAGGAAACGAGGACAAGGACAAAGGGAAAGTTTAAAAGAGTTTCAGAAAAAGGTGATATTTTTCTCGCCTGCATTTCCTTTTCACACACACAGCCCCCCGAATTCCTTGTTTGACGTTGAAGTATCTCAGGAAGTATTTGGGCCGAGTTCCAAAAGCTACTTTAATATTAACTCAAGCACGCAACCAAGTGTACAGATGCGAGTAAATCCAGAGTGTGAGCGTCCTTTCAAACCCGGGAGGTAAAGGAGATCTCTGCCTGATAACGATTATGTTTTCAAATGCCACACCGGACACATCCATAGACTTCCACTAAGGCGTATGGTTCCCTCTCTGCTTTGAACTGACTGATAAAATAACTGTAATCTGTTCCTTATCGTCTGCAACACCGTTTGATCTTTACACGTCTCTGTGAGGCCCAAAAACATAGTTTGGAAAGCTGCAACACACACTTTTAATACAGAAATGTAGGAACAGAAGGATGTTGACGTGAATATAGTGGAGGGGAAACTGGCTCCCTTTGATCTGTGTTAAGTAGACGGCAGTTCAGGAGCAGTTCACAGGACACACTCCACAGGAGAGCTTCATGCTTTACCTGAGTCCTCTCACAGATATCCTCCCAAATCCCCAAATCAGTGTTTGTTTACACATCTGGGCTTTTGTTTGTGTGTTTCTGAAACTGAGCAGAAGGTTAGGGCTTAAATTGCCTGATTGCTTTCTTGTAAGATGTACCTAATATACATTTTGTTTAGAGAAATGCCTCAATAACTATGGGAGTCACTGCCGACACGTGACTAAACAACGCCTGTATTGCTTTGAAATGCACCGAGGCTTCAGTTTTAACAAGTTACAGATACTCCAATAGACACAATAGGTCATTTCCCAAGGTATACGACATGCAAAACGTGCCAAGAAAAGGCAGCAATGACTTACAAATGATGCTGGTTCTTCTGTTAAATCACAAAACAGTGTGCGTAACTGGCCACGTCCAATAATATATATCTAAAAAGCATCATGAGATGAATCCTGCACGCTGAAACAACTTGTCCGTGCCTCAAATCGTTCAAGTTGTCGGTGCAAATGCAGGAAAGAAAAGCATCCAATTAAATAATGCTTCTGATTTCCTCGCGATATCAGCTTAGAAGATATGTGTGGAAACAAAACACGTCGCTGAGAGGCTGAGGCCTGTTTGCTATTGTATGACACGCTATCAAAAAAAGTACTTGCTGAGATCAAAATTCTGGTGAATAAAATGAGATGATCTAATTATTTCACGTAGACATTGACATTGCAATAATGGTCAAAGCAATTCCTAAAGCTTGCGGCCAACAAAAAAACCCTGTGTCACCCTCTCTTTTACACACACACACACACACACTACACACACTGCAGTGCAGACACACAGCTGCCCTCTTAGACCCCGATCACAGAGTCCAGATGCTCTGCGGCACGATGACCTTGGTGCCGGTGTTGTCTCCGCATGGTGTTTAGCATATGTGTGGATGACGTAATCTTTTCGCCTGAAGGTTGGAGAGGATACGTTGAATTACTCCGGGCCTTTCCTGGCTGCCAGAAGCCTCACTCAGCATCTCTGCCGGCTGTAACTCAGTCTATACGTGATGCTGCCAGCAGGATATATTTAACTCCAGTCAGGCAGTGATGTCATTGAAGATACTGCAGTTAAAAATCCCTCCACAGCTTTTTAACAAGTGAGGATATTGTTCCTTGTCATCCTGACGATGTTCTCCATGGTTATTAGGAAGCTTCTGATTATTTGAATAGTGATTTATCTGTGTTTGGATGTGTTCATTCAGAGAGAGCTCATTTGCGGCTGAGCAGGTTTTTGCTTCGGGGTTCGTTTCTGCAGAAGAAGAACAGCTGAACTGTCCGTGACATTTCCTGTTTTGTTGTGACTGCATACGCTCGGAGGGTTGAAACTTTCCCCTGCTCAGATCCCAGGACACACTGCTCACTTTCTGCTGCTGCTCAAAGACATCCAGACAGGGCGTGTCGTAATCGCACACAGAAGATTTGATCAAAGTGATTGGTCCGTCCCTCCTGCAGCTCAGATGAAAGATGGTATTTTTAAGTAACGTTGTAACACTGAACTAATTGGTCTTGATCTGCCAATCACCCCAGGGGTTGCAAATGGATACTCCTTCACTTTGGGCCCTCGGGAGTCTTTACACTAGTGCACAGAGCTGGAAGGAAAGCACAGTCAGATAGATAAATTAGCCTCAAATGAGCCGGGATTGTGGTTTTCCTGGAGAATCCCTTGCTGTCTTCTCAACCAGTCGTGGCATGTGTGAGACGGATCCTGACACAAGAGATTATTTCTACCTATTCAGTGTTCACATTGTTTTGTGCTCAGAAGGATTTACTAATAAAGATAATTCTGATAGTCTGGCAGATACAGTTTACACATCAGCCAAGAGCGATGCTTTAATATGTTATCTGTTATAAAACACGACACCTTACATTAGTTAACTGACAAAGAAATTCAATTAAAGAGGCCCTATTCTGCTTTTACATCAGCAGGAGAGGACTCTTTAAAGTAGAGACACTACATACTGATATACACCTGAACATCAGCAGGAGAGGACTCTTTAAAGTAGAGACACTATATACTGATATACACCTGAACATCAGCAGGAAGAGGACTCTTTAAAGTAGAGACACTACATACTGATATACACCTGAACATCAGCAGGAGAGGACTCTTTAAAGTAGAGACACTACATACTGATATACACCTGAACATCAGCAGGAGAGGACTCTTTAAAGTAGAGACACTACATACTGATATACACCTGAACATCAGCAGGAGAGGACTCTTTAAAGTAGAGACACTACATACTAATTTTTGATATTACGGACCTGAACATCAGCAGGAGAGGACTCTTTAAAGTAGAGACACTACATACTGAATATACACCTGAACATCAGCAGGAGAGGACTCTTTAAAGTAGAGACACTACACTACTGATATACACCTGACATCAGCAGGAGAGGACTCTTTAAAGTAGAGACACTACACACTGATATACACACCTGAACATCAGCAGAGAGGACTCTTTAAAGTAGAGACACTACATACTGATATACACCTGAACATCAGCAGGAGAGGACTCTTTAAAAGTAGAGACACTACATACTGATATACAACACCTGAACATCAGCAGGAGAGGACTCTTTAAAGTAGAGACACTACAATACTGATACACCTGAACATCAGCAGGAGAGGACGCTTTAAAGTAGAGACACTACATACTGATATACACCTGAACATCAGCATGAAGAGGACTCTTTAACGTAGAGACACTACATACTGATATACACCTGAACATCAGCAGGAGAGAACTCTTTAAAGTAGAGACACTACATACTGATATACACCTGAACATCATCGCAGGTGAGGACTCTTTAAAGTAGAGACACTACATACTGATAAACACCTGAACATCAGCAGGAGAGGACTCTTTAAAGTAGAGACACTACATACTGATATACACCTGAACATCAGCAGGAGAGGGAACTCTTAAAGTAGAGACACTACACACTGATATACACCTGAACATCAGCAGGAGAGGACTCTTTAAAGTAGAGACACTACATACTGATATACAACCTGAACATCAGCAGGAGAGGACTCTTTAAAGTAGAGACACTACATACTGAATTACACCTGAAACATCAGCCAGGAGAGGACTCTTTAAAGTAGAGACACTACATACTGATATACACCTGAACATCAGCAGGAGAGGACTCTTTAAAGTAGAGACACTACATACTGATATACACCTGAACATCAGCAGGAACTCTTTAATCTGATTGTTTTTTGTTTCTACAGGAACGTGCTCACACACCTATACTCGAGGAAGTACTCGAAGTACTTAGAAATCTGAAGAACAAATTGGGTAAGTATTTGGATTATAAGACCTTGAATTGGCTCGGGACTGCATGCCAAGAAGTTAGCTTTTTACATATTGCTGACAGGCGGCCGCTCTCTCCGTCCCCGTCTGACTTAATTTCTTAATTTGGACTTGGACCAGAACTGCCTGATAATTTTCCATCCATTTTAGGATATTATAAATGAGGCCTGAGCCTTTTTGGGAGCAGTGAGTGTAGAGGGGGGGTGGAGGGGGGAGCACAAAGGCACTTAGGATATTGGACAAGATGCAAACTTTATATTGTAGCAAGCCTTTTAGTGATGTCATTAATTTAGAAGGATGGTGCATATAAAGTGCACTTGGCAAACTTCTCGGCGAGGCAGGGTGGGTGCACTTTGAGAATAAGGAGGACTAACAAGGTTGGAAATAGAGAAAGAAAGTCAATATGGCAAAGACTGGAGGGCAGAGAGACTGTGGACGTCCAGGAGAAGAAGAGATATGGAGGTGAAGTGTGTGTGACACATGACGGACGACCTGTTGAAATCAGAGGAAGATGGAAGACGGTGTGTCTCCTGGCGTGGAAAACACACACACACACACACACACACACACACACACACACACATAGACACACACACACACACCATAGACACACATAGACACACACAGACATATATACACACATAGACACACACATAGACACACACATAGACACACACACACACATATACACAACACACACACACAATATACACATATACACACCACACACACATATACACACACATATATACCCACCACACACACACACACACACACACAGCAACACACACACACACACACACACACACACACCCACCCTCCCTGCTACTGGATGCAAAAGAGTTGAGCTCTCACACACACAATCTTAATGCACACACACACACACACACACACACACACACACACCACACACACACACCCACCACACCACACACACACACACACACACACACACACACAGCACCACACACCACACACACACACACACACACACACACACCCCCTCTGACCAACATATAAATCACAGGATTCATTTTGCTGCATTTCTTTTCATCCAGGATTTATTGTTGTTTCCACTAATTAAGGCAATGATGACTAATTAAAGAGGAAGAGTGGTATTTCTGCAGGTTATGAAATGTATATCACCTGGAGGGGGGGGTGCTCGTGATGAGAGGTGAGATAGTGTTTAGTGTTTCTACACACACTCACGATATGTTTTACCAAACCTCGCTGTACACACGCTGTAAATAAAGCCCGAGGACGCGTCAGTATTTATCTTTGATGAGTATATTAATCAACCACGAGGTGGAAAGTGGTTTGTATCTCTCCATCTTGTAATTAAAGAGTCGGTTATATATTTCTTAAGACTAATAACCCTGCATTGTTGGCTCTTTCTCCTCAGAGAGAAGAAAGAAGGCCTCGGGTTGGGAGAAGAACTTGTTGTATCCCATAGTGATGCTGATCCTGCTGGCAGGAACCGTGAGTAACTACGTACATTTACTCAAGTAACTACGTACATTTACTCAAGTACTTAAATACATGTTTGATTACTTGTCAGGTAATCTGTATTCAGTCAAGGTGGCGTGGGGGCACTAGGTGTTTAAGGAAGATGTTTTTTAGACGTAATGTGGATTATAGTTTTGGATTAAGAGTGGACTGTAGGACTATTTTACAGGAGCTATATACTCAATACACTCCTTTACTCTTGTGGGATAATTTAAACTGTTGTAGAGAGATAGTTAGATAGATAGATAGATGGATAGGTAGATGGATAGGTAGATGGAGGGATAGATAGATAGGTAGGTAGATAGATAGATGGATAGATGGATGGATAGACGGATGGATAGATGGATAGGTAGATAGATAGATAGATGGATGGATAGATAGGTAGATAGATAGATGGATAGGTAGATGGATAGGTTAGATGGAGGGATAGATAGATGGGATAGCATAGATAGACTAGATGGATCGATCGCTCGGTTCGCTAGATAGCTAGCTGAGGTAGATGCTCGCTGCTCGCGGGTCGCTAGCTGGCTCCTCGCTCTCCTCGCTCGCTCGCTCGTCTGGCTCGCTGTCGGTAGCTCGCTCGCTGGCTCGGTCGCTGGCGGGCTCGCTCGCTGGCTCCCTCGCTCGCTCGCTCGCTCGCTGGCTCGCTCGCTCGGTCGCTCGCTCGCTGGCTCGCTGGCTGGCTCGCTGGCTGGCTCGGTCTCCTCGCTCGTCGGTCGATAGGTAGGGTAGATCGATCGATATATTTAGTTACCAAGCAGCAGTTGTTCAGACATTAAATCCTTTAAAAGTGGAATAGAGAATATAAGAATGGAGTCTTGGGGATTATATTCTTCTTTTTTTGACTATATTGCATGAGCTATAAACTGCTTCACTCTTGTGGGATCATTTAAACTGTTGAATATATTCATTTTTCTACATTTAAAGACAAGTTTTACCCAAATGTGAGAACTAGAGAAATATTGAACTGGTTAAGAAGGGCATGGGCTTTATGGTTCCCCTTTACATGTACCATCTCTAGGGTTTGACTCTCAACATGTTCTGGTACCCCAGCAACCTTTGGTCAATCCCCAACAGAACTTATACTTTACTTGAGTATTTGCACTTCATGCCAGTTCATACTTCTACTCCACTACGTTTAGTTTGTTTCCTCCACCTCGGCCTATCATCACTTCGCTGTGTTTGCTCATGGCGGATTCTCACAGCTCCCAGTCTGGGTGTGGAAACTACTTTTGTTTAATGGCTGGTTAGGACAACGCTGAATATCCACCTGCATTCGATCATTATAGTGTGAGGAGAGGGTAACTTTACAAATGTACATGTTACATGAAAATGTGATCTAATCTCTACTTTGTGGAATCGATCAATGTTTTTTTTAATCATATGTGTAAACAAATCCTTATCCTCCTCTCTGTCTGCAGACTATTTCAGTCCTTATGGTGGTGTTTAACATCCTCTACCTCCTCGTGGATGAGACTGCCATGCCCAAAGGATCCACGGTAAGCCCACTGTCACACACACACACACACACACACACACACACACACACACACACACACACACACACACACACACACACACACACACACACACACACACACACACACACACACACACACACACACACACACACACCACACACACACACACCACACACACACCACACACACACACACACACACACACACACACACACACACACACACACACACCACACACACACACACACACACACACACACACCTCTCTATCAGACCTGCCATGTTCCTGCCGGAGACATAAATCAAATTCCGGAAACGCTCCGATGCACGCTGGAAGAAAAGGGCCGAGCAGATGTGAATCAGGCCTGAACTTTGTGCCTCTTGTTTTGTTTTGGGAGCTCATTGAAAGTCATTTCACAGACTCAAAGCGTCTCGAGTCCACAGCGGGTAAATAAAAAGAAATAAGTTGCTTTCCCTCGAGGTGAAGGACGTCTAACCGAGTGTGGAGCGGCGCTCAAAGATTCTCATCTCTGACCTAACATGCAATGTGTTTTAAGCTCTCCTTATCTCTCGTGTGGGTGTGTGTGGGTGTGTGTGTGGTTGCGTGTGTGTGTGTGTGTGTGGTTGCGTGTGTGGTTGCATTCTTGTCTGAGAGAGGGCAACATAATGTATCCTATTTCTCCCCTCATCTCATTCTGCGTCTCGCGGGCATCTGACAGAGCTGCCCTCCACATTCCAATTATTTCATTGAGCGGAGATGTTTTTTTTGGCCCGACGCGTCGCAGAAAATCCCCCAAATTACACGGAGCTGTCCTCCCTGACAGCGTGCGGCTCACTAAATGGTTTGTGTGTCTGGATGGATGCCACACCTCTGATCTCACAGCACTACCACGGTTGTTTGTCCTCTAAAAAAAACAATCGATACTGATATGATATCCATCGTTCCACCCCGCTAACCCTGCAGCGCTCTAACTCTGAGGCGCTACTGTCGAAGCTCTCAGACTGTGGGAAAGTCAAATGAGGCTTCTGATTGTTTTGGGGGGGGGGGGACAATGGAAGTGCCCTGTCAATGTTTGCCTTTGAAGAGGATGAGGAGGAGGAAGAGCAGGGATGGAGATGGTGATGAGGAGCAAATATGCTGTTTTAAGAGGAGGGGGAGTATTGCTGCCTCTGTCAAAAGACACAAGCACTTTCTAATTCAAAGGTTTTATTGTCATCAGCTACAGTGTAGAAATGGCAATGACATTCTTCTGCTCCTCCAACAAGGCAACATATATACTAAAATACAAAAATAAAAAATAGTGCAAGAAGTCTATATGCATGTTAATAGAATATGATATGTAGAAGAACAGAAATTAAATAATGTACATTAAGACAAAATGAAATACGGGTTATTACGGTGATAACTATTTAAGTAGATTAAACTAGTCACTGCAGGTCTTTGGTAGCCACAACAAGTGACACTGTGTTTTACAAAATGTGCAATTATCTGCAACTGCACCTCACTAAAGAAACTCACAAAAACAAAGACTTCCAACGACAAGCTAACCTGAGATATGAGCTTTAAACTAGTATTGCAAAACTGTCCTGAAACGAGGAACAAATTGACATCAAGTGGATTTTCCTCTGGATCTAGTTTTGTACAACTCCTCTGCAATAAATATCAGGCTCTGGAGTGAAAAGAAAGTGTATAAATGAGGTTTTTATGGCATCGAAGTACCTTAACTACTACGGGCTGGAGAATAGATGGCACAGCACCTAAACGATTAAAGATACAGCCACAATATGGATTTGACCCGAGCACACAGAGAGGTTTTAAATGTGCCTTTGGAGCCTCTCCCATTTCTCATTCAAGGAAATGTAGAAATAAGTGAAATAAGGTTTATAACTATAATAATCTACACTGAGACAGAAATGAGTATTCTGACACAGGTCAAAGGGTCAGGAGGTGTCACACACACACACACACACACACACACACACACACACACACACACACACACACACACACACACACACACACACACACACACACACACACACACCATTACTCAAATATAAACTAGTACAAAACTAATTTGTATTAAAACAAAATGCATTACTTTGTACGTTTCATGCCTCCTAAAATATGACACACACACACACACACACACACACACACACACACTTGCTACTGGATGCAAGAGTTGAAAGGTTGTGAAAGATAGCTGTCCGAAGCACACATGCATATTGCTCTCACACACACATGCACGATCTTAATGCATGCCCACCCTCTCCATTAATAAGGGTTAGGGTCACATCAGATGCTGTCTGCTAATTCTGAGAGAGAGATAGAGAGAGAGAGAGAGAGAGCTCTGCAGAAGGGATGACAGTTGCATAAAAAGGCATGAAGCAACCTGCAGGCTTCCCTTTCCTCTCCAGGCTCTCACTGCACACATTAAGATAAGGTGGGGAAAGAATCTGGGACTCTACATATATACTGTGCAGATGTATTGGTGTTGCAGGGATAGTGCATTGCTAAACAAATAAAGTCAACATTAAAATCCTGTGTACACATGACACAGGATCAGAGGGAGGGATGTAGTAGAATATATAGCGACAGTGTAATCATTCACACAACGTAGAAGCGCAAATAAGTGGAACACATCTATGGATATGTTGAAAGTGAGAGGTGTATTGATCAACCCAAAAGCAAATATTGATGTATTTATCCGGCTATTGAAATGCCTGAGGGCTTCAGAGGTAGGAGTGTCGGGTTTTAGTGTTTACTGAAGTATTTGTTTTTATGTTTTTGGCGTACCGTAAGCAATGTGGCGTTTTTTTAGTTTGAACACCTGTTCACATTATTGTGTGATCGACGGTGATTTGAAAGCAGCCTCTTTCATCTCGCTCCATTCATCACTTAGCCAATTTCAATCTGGCTTTTTTTTCCCTCAAGTGGGGAAATTCTCACATCGCAGGATTTCTGTGATTGCATGTGTGTGTTTAGAGAAGATACAACTTTGTGCAATTCACGCGTTATTCTTGCTTTCAATTGATTTACAATCTGCAAACAGTAGCAGCTACTTCTTTCATTTCATAGGATCACTACCAAGGTATACTCATCGTGTGCATACTTAGTTATTCTCTATTATCTAAGTCCATACTTCTGCTGTTGTAACAACGTAAATGTCCCCGTTGTTGTGTCTCCTCCTCCCAGGATCGAGGCATCGGGAACACGTCTCTCTCCACGTTCGGCTTGGCTCAGGCGGTGCTGGAGATCATCCTCATGTTGTATCCTTTCTTTGACCAAACCCCCCCCCCTCTTCTTCCCTCTTTGTCTGTGGCCAAAGTAGCATGGTCCACGGCCAAGAGCAACAGCGTCCGGCCAGCTTTGTTTACTCTGGACATAGTTCAGCCAGACATCTTCCGGAAGACACGTTTCGTCACCTTTTATCACAGCTGAAAAGGTGTAGATTTTAGATCTTTAACCCTCCTGTCGTGTTCGTTTCCCCCCCCTTACTTTGGTGTTTAAATGCTCTTAAATTAACACAATAACCCTTAATCATCACCAGCTTTTACTTAACCCCCCTTTAAGCTGTAACCAAGGTCTCAGACTACTGTTTACATGCATAACTGCAGGTAATATACAAAGACACTGAACTGTTCTCCAGGGTTAACGTGGTCGTTGCTGTAGGATTTCATAAGTAATTAAATGTAAAACACGATATTTATGAGTGATTAAAGTAGTCAATTGGTCAGATTTTGACCCGAACACGACAGGAGGGGTCTTTAAAAAGTCGTCAGCTTTGTTTACTCAGAACATACTTCAGCCGGACATCTTCCGGAAGACACGTTTCGTCACCTTTTATCATAGCTGAAAAGGTGTAGATTTGAGATCTTTAACCCTCCTGTCGTGTTAGTTTCCCCCCCCTTACTTTGGTGTTTAAATGCTCTTAAATTAACACAATAACCCTTCATCATCACCAGCTTTTACTTAACCCCCCTTTAAGCTGAAACCAAGGTCTCAGACTACTGGTTTACAAAGACACTGAACTATATCTAATATATATACTGATGGTAGCACTGGGTCATCTAGAAGAGTAGACTCTACCAATGGGACTTTCTCCTTCATTTCCAAAGAGCAGAGAAGCATCACGACCCTGTAGTTGAATTCCCCAAATGTTATTATGCAGAAATGTCGTTTCCCCCCCCCCCATTAAGTCCTTACGTTTTTCATGATGACCTTTTCATTGACATATCCAAACTGTACAAATGACAATAAAAGCCTCGAGTGTTGAACTGTACTCCAGGGTAAACATGGTCGATGGAGGATATCAGAAGGCCTTTAAGCAATCACATGTAAAACACAATATTTATGATTGATTAAAGTAGTCAAATGGTCCGATTTTGACCCGAACGCGAGGAGGGGTCTTTAAAAAGCCGTCTGAAAGAAGCTGAAGTGTTTTTGCTCCTTGATTGAATTCCTCCGCAGCTACTTGATGGTTTCCTCCGTCGTCGGTTTCTACAGCCTGCGCGTCTTCCAGAGCCTCACTCCCAGGAACGACGACACAACCATGACAACGGTAAGGATGTTGGGGGTGAAGTGGGGGCAAGATTGCACCTTAAAAAAAATGTGTTTGGGACCCCCTGCGTTCCCTCCATTTCCTTCCTCTCACTGTGGACTCCTGCTGTGTTTCGTCTCAATGGCTTTCGCTGATCTGTCCAATATTTGTTTGTGGGTTGCGCAAACACTGGCAAAGTGCAAGTCCCTTTCTTGTACATCAGAGGGAGGGTTTTTTCATTTTGGGAGGGGGTTTTGGTGGAGGATGCGTGCTGTGTTTGGCCCACAGTGGCACCCATTCACTTGGTAATGAGTTTGGGAGTGGTGAGGCTTGTTAACTAGCCGTGACGCTGCAGTGAAAGGGCTTGAAAGGACAACAGAGGGGACCTGGTAATGAGCAGCTTCAGAGCTACTAATTGTACAATATGTGGAACCAATTTAACATCAAGTGGAGTGTGAGCATGTGCTGCAGCGGGTCCTCAAGCGTCTCGTAACCCTATGATATATGGGAACGCTTAAAATCCCTTTTTTATTTGTAGATCATCGGTTGCTGTGTGTCCATTTTGGTCCTGAGTTCAGCCCTGCCAGTGATGTCCAGAACTCTGGGTGAGTACCACACACACACACACACACACACACACACACACACACACACACACACACACACACACACACACACACACACACACACACACACACACACACACACACACACACACACACACACACACACCAGCTTCATATTTAGCGGGAAAATACAAGTAAGACAAAAAGAAAACTAGTATTTCCAAAAATGCCAAATAATGTTCTTTAGGTTTAAGTTAATTTGGAGCGATTTGAAACCCCCCCCCCCAGACAGAGTAAACGCCCCTCCCCCTGCAGCGGTTAGCAGGCTGAATTCTCCTATAGTTTCCCATAGTGACACGAGAAAGGAGTGCAGGGTGAAGGGGTAAAAATGACAGGAGCAGCAGCATCACAATGGCTCTAATAAACATGCAGACTGCAGAGCACAGCTGTTCAAATAGCACTACTCTGTTGGACACACACACACACACACACACACACACACACACACACACACACACACACACACACACACACACACACACACACACACACACACACACACACACACACACACACACACACACACACACACACACACACACACTGGGGAAAAGGGCTGTAGCGAGCATACAGTGACTCATTGGGAGCTTTACAAAAATATCAACAGGTTCTGCTTTGTGGCGCTGAATAGATAAAAAGGAATAAATGCATGAGACAGGGTTGAAGGGGAAAGGCCTCCCAGAGAACACAACAAAAACCACGGTGTGGAGAGTTGAGTGTGACGGAGTGAGACGTTAAGAAACAAGAAAGGGTTTGTGTGTGTGTCAGTGTGGGAAATATGCACTGTATAAAAGGGAAGGACAACTCTACACCAACAAAAACAAGCATTCTTAAGGTCTGACTGTTCAAGTAATGTACTGACAAACGTCTTTACTTCCAGATTTCACACCATGTTTCAAAATAGAAAAACAGTTTTTAAGTGGAGTAATTGAACGTGTCACATATTGAAAGTGTGTTAGACACCATAGACTTTGATTAAAAGTGTTTTTTTTAAACTCTTCTCGTCTCTAGTACAGGTTTGAAGCGTAGAAACTGGGCCTATTCTGCTCATTTTCAGGTGTATATCAGTATTTAGTGCCTCTACTGGGACAATAGGAGCATACATGTTACATAGTGATAGTGAACTGATGGATTTGAGCCTTTGCAGACCATTTACATGCACAGAAAACATGCACAGAAACCTATAGAGCTGCAGGAGACTCTGATGCATGAGCAGCTACATGCTAACTCACATCTTTTTACTCTGATTAGATTTCCTCAATTTCATTTCAAACCTTTATTTATCCAGGTGAATCCCTTGGGATCAATTGATCTCTTTTTCAAGGGAGACCTGCTCAAGTAGGTTCCACATGAAACAACAGAACAACAAAAAGGACATCATACAGCATCATTACAGGGATTACAATTTACAATAATCATCCACATGAACAGGTACCAACAGCTTCCGATTCAGTAGCATCCAACCGAGCTTTAAAAACATGTAGTGGCACCAGATTGCTCAGTTTCCATTTTAATTGCAGATTATTCCAGGACAGTGGAGCTGCGCATCTAAATGCTATCTTCCCTAAGACAGTCCTAGCAGTTGGCACATTTAATAAAACCACAGCATGCGATCTCAGGCAGTAGCCACTTACAATTCACCGTGAGATCAGGGAGCAGATGTAGGATGGAAGTTTCCCTAACATGGCTTTGTATATAAAAATGTACCAGTGACTGAGCCTCCGTGCAGTTAGTGAAGGCAGACCAGCCCTTGCATACAGGGTACAGTGATGAGTTAATGCTTTACAGTTTGTCACAAATCTCAGTGCACTGTGATACGCAGCATCTAACTTGACCAGGCAATTGGCAGGTGCATTCATATAGATCAGATCACCATAGTCCAGCACAGGTCAAAAGGTCACAGCCTTTTCCTGGCTTCAAAAGAGAAACAGGACTTGTTCCTGAAAAAGAAACCTAGCCTAACCCTCAGCTTTTTTAAGCAGGTTATTGACATGAAGTTTAAAAGAGAGACAATCATCAAGCCAGATACCAAGGTATTTGTAACAGGTAACCACTTCAAGTTTTATTCCTTGCGTAATTACAATATCTAAAACAGGCTCTGGTGTCTTTTTAGCTTTTGAAAAGAGCATTACCTTGGTTTTATAACATTTAAAAGAAGCTTTAGTTCAGAATAATGTTAAAAACAGCCTGTAATTCAACACCAGCCTCCTTAATGGAGGGACCTGCACAGTACATCACGGTATCATCCGCATTAAATGTAAGGTTGCTCCATCGACATTTTGACCTAAACTGTTGATATAGATGGAGAATAAAAGCTCAGACCGAGCTCAGAGCCTCTGGCATCAGACGGGTGTTCTCAGACCACAGTGAGCCGTATCGACGGGGTCTCCATCATCTCTCCGCTGTCTCTTCACAGGCAATTTTGTTAAAGGTCCTTGATGCTTGCAAACTGCTTACTGCGGCTGTAAATACGTCTCCGCAGACACCGAATCGATCGGCCAATCTAATAGACGACAGAGGCTGTGAAGATGTTACAGGAGGAGGACAAAGACTCTCCTTTCTCCACAGACGACTGTAATAAAACTGTTGTGGTGCATAAATCTAACTACTCTGATGCGGTAATGTCCTACGTCAGTGTTGCATGGAAAAGGAATGGACATAGTCTCAAAACGTAGATCGTAGACATTAGGTTATTGAAAGCTTGATTGTATAACGTCATTACTTGATAGAAAGTGCCCACATTAGCAGGCCATAAATAAAAAACAACAAGCATTACGTTGAGAATTTCTTCTATATCATATAAGATACCTAGTATGTCTTCGAAATTGCAAACTAACGAACTATTCATACGGTTTAAAATTGAGGATTTAGTGCATTTACACTGCATTGCATGGTGATTGTGTGTACATGAGAAATACCCATATTCATACGTACATTTGCGTGAAATCTCAACAGATTTTGAGTTAAGCTTTTATATTTCCTACAACCTTATCTTGGCCACAAATGGAAAATATTCTATATAAATGGAAATGACGGAGCAGTGAGGTCACAGTTGTTTTTTAACGGTGAGAATATACCTGAAACGCACTTCAAACTGTCCTAAAATCAATGTTGTACATTTTCTGTACTTTGCAACACCGTGGACTTCAGGGTTGAATACCTTTTCTCATCATAAACCCAAAGAAATCAGAGCATTCATCCTGTTAAATGTCCACTTTCTGTCTGTCCTCCTCAGGAATCACCAGGTTTGATCTCCTGGGAGACTTCGGGAGATTTAACTGGCTGGGAAACTTCTACATCGTGCTTTCATACAACATGCTGTTTGCCGTCGTGACGACACTCTGTCTCGTGAGGAAATTCACCTCAGCCGTACGGGAGGAGCTTCTGAAGGCCTTAGGTAAATTAAACTTACTAAATATTCCAACCTCACATCATAGACTCTATGCATTACATTAACACACACAATATCTGTTTGTTTTTTTTCATTATTGCACATATTTTATACCATTCGATTTCAATGTAAATACTGGTGTATTTTACTGTATTCTTTTATGTTATTATAGTTTTCTTAAAATAGTTTTCTATCTGTGTTTTTAATTTTTGTGTCAACCTACCTGTTAATAAACAGTAGATTCTGTATTACAAATACAACATTTAAGTTATTCATGTTGTGTTTTTGTCACACAACCAATCCTACAATTAAAATGCCGGATGTTCTGCAGAATAGAAAGCAACTTCCTCCTAATGTGTGCACAGAGGTTTTAAACACGAGGCTACGGTGGCTTTGCACAAAGGTAGTGTTTATGTCTCTCACGTCTCTCTCACATCCTCGGGTTACAAAAAGGGAGAAATTGCAGCGAGATGGAAAGTGCTGCGGGACTGACATGTGACAGAGGATGGGGCTCAAAGGCTTGTGGTGACAGGATGGGGTTAGAAGATGTCAGACCGACGCACATCAATACCTCTGTCTAAGTGAAAGTCTGCTCTTTAATGAGATTTCTCTCTCTTATCTCCCCCTGCCCAGGTCTGGATAAATTGCAACTGTCAAACAGCCCCACGGACCCCGAGTCTGGGAAGCTCTCGGCCAACGGGCATCAGAAAACTCTGTGACACACACACACACACACACACACACACACACACACACACACACACACACACACACACACACACACACACACACACACACACACACACACACACACACACACACACACACACACACACACACACACACACACACACACACACACACACACACACACACACACACACACACACACACACACACACACACACACACACACACACACACACACACACACACACACACACACACACACACACACACACACACACACACACACACACACACACACACACACACACACACACACACACACACACACACACACACACACACACACACACACACACACACACACACACACACAGAGATTGGAGGAACTTTAATAAACCCGTCTGACGGATGCCTGAAAACGGGAGAGCAATTCAAGCTTTGTGACATTCCTTTTTTCTGCGTCTCCGACGTGAAACTGGGCGAAGACGACGGGGAAATAAGACTGGCATCACTGCAGTGACCTTGACGTTGACCTCCACTGCGATTGTGACTTTAAAAACACCCCGGTTTAAGGTAAACAACCTCCTCTCTACTGCACTAGACAAAAGCAAAGGCATCTCCACCCTCCTGCCCCTACTCCCACTTTTCAATTAGACTCACGTTCTAGCGTGGGTATGTCCGTTAATCTGTGAGAGCAGTGTCTGGTGTTTTGGGGGTTATGTGAACTGATACAGGCGTGATCAGGTGTCCATTGTATTTGTTTAAAGCTCAAAATGTGAAAATAACAAAGCATGAATAGAAAAGAACGTACTCATTCATCACACAACTTAAAATACAATTAACATAATATGCATCGGCAACGTCATTACTGATTTTAGCACTCGGTGATCTAGATTCAACTCTACACATGGGATAGTAGAATCCCCTTCATTTCCAAAGAGCAGAGAAGCATTACGAGCCTGTAGTTGAATTTCCCAAAAATGTTTATTATGCAAATGATAAGAAATGTCGTTTTTCTCCCAAAAAACGTTTTTAATTAAAGAATCCATACGTTTTTCCTTTGTTGTAAATGTTGTATTTACTTGTACATATCGCACTGTGTCTCATACCTCTCTCATTACTTGGATGTACATACTGGGCTCCTGAGGGTCTGACTCACTAAGCAATCTGTATTTTGTTGTACATATTTTTTATAAAACACCTGAATCTGATGCAAGCCTGTAACGGTGTCACATATGAAGCGTGTGCAACAGGTAGAAAGCCTCGGTGACTCAGGCCCAACTTACATGTAGTTTAACGGCTGCAGAATCTCAATGTTTTCTGTCCACCGGAAATGCCTTAAAGCATCTGGCAGGCTTCATGTTGGGGTCCTTTCCTCCTGTTGTTGTTGTTGTTTGTGTACTGATTGCACATTGTCTCTAGACAGCTCCACTGTGATCCCCTTAAGAGTTTAAGCCAGCTGAATACACACACACACACACACACACACACTGAACATCTCTACCCCACACACACACACTGAACATCTCTACCACACACACACACTGAACATCTCTACCCCACACACACACTGAACATCTCTACCCCACACACACACTGAACATCTCTACCACACACACACACACTGAACATCTCTACCACACACACACACTGAACATCTCTACCCCACACACACACTGAACATCTCTACCACACACACACACACTGAACATCTCTACCACACACACACACTGAACATCTCTACCCCACACACACACTGAACATCTCTACCACACACACACACACACACCTGAACATCTCTACCACACACACACACACTGAACATCTCTACCACACACACACACACTGAACATCTCTACCACACACACACACACTGAACATCTCTACCACACACACACACACAGAACACCCACACACACACACTGAACATCTCTACACACACACACACACACTGAACATCTCTACCACACACACACACTGAACATCTCTACCCCACACACACACTGAACATCTCTACCACACACACACACACACTGAACATCTCTACCACACACACACACACACTGAACATCTCTACCACACACACACACACACTGAACATCTCTACCACACACACACACACACTGAAACATCTCTACCACACACACACACACACTGAACATCTCTACCACACACACACACACACTGAACATCTCTACCACACACACACACACACTGAACATCTCTACCACACACACACACACACTGAACATCTCTACCACACACACACACTGAACATCTCTACCCCACACACACACTGAACATCTCTACCACACACACACACACACTGAACATCTCTACCACACACACACACACTGAACATCTCTACCACACACACACACACTGAACATCTCTACAACACACACACACACACACTGAACATCTCTACCACACACACACACTGAACATCTCTACAACACACACACACACACTGAACATCTCTACCACACACACACACACTGAACATCTCTACCACACACACACTCACACTGAACATCTCTACCACACACACACACTGAACATCTCTACCACACACACACACACACTGAACATCTCTACCACACACACACACACTGAACATCTCTACCACACACACACTCACACTGAACATCTCTACCACACACACACACACTGAACATCTCTACCACACACACACTCACACTGAACATCTCTACCACACACACTCACACACTGAACATCTCTACCACACACACTCACACTGAACATCTCTACCACACACACACACACACTGAACATCTCTACCACACACACACACACACACTGAACATCTCTACCACACACACACACACTGAACATCTCTACCACACACACTCACACACTGAACATCTCTACCACACACACACACTGAACATCTCTACCACACACACACACACACACACACACTGAACATCTCTAACACACACACACACCTTTTCTCCATATGAATGTGGTCACAGTAGCTCTTATCCAATGAGAGGCTCCAGTTTGCATTCATTACCCAGAGGCACTTGCAGGTGTAGTGAGTGATCCAATGCTTGTTTTTAGAGTGACATTAAAAGGAAGAAAATGGGTTTGAGAGACAGGGAAAGTTTCTCCTCACAGCTGTCTACCATTATTACAAAGACTGGATTTTAAAATGAAGTGTAATCCAATCACGAAACTACGAAACGGGCAACGTTCCTGAGTCAAAACGTGATCTTTAAGAGCGCAGATTTACCAAAAATACTCGGCATTCATTGCTTGATTTCTTTAGTATGTTGTGTGTCATTTCATTTGTTTATTTGATGGACGTTATGACAACACGCATCATTGGATCCTATGTGAAATGGCTCAAAGCGATATGGCAAAGAAAAAAAGGGAAGATATTTTAATGGGAAAAATCTAATTTTCGACAAAAACTTGTAGTTTCTTCTCCAGGAAGTGTCTATGAAACATCAACATCCCATAAACACAGCGAGGGTCATTTTCTATCCTCTCATTTTGGGGTGAAAAGGTGCAGAGTCGGCCTTTACTGTCGGTGGAGCAGCTTCTGTCTGTGGGGCTCTGCATGTCAGTTTTTGTACATGTTTTGTGAATGTATTTTTTACGATTCTTTCTCAGTTTGCTAACTGTACGTTTAGTTATTTTTTTGATGTCTGTGTGTTTGCAAATAAAAGTAGAAAAATGCTTTGAGAAACACGTTTTCATTCATTCTTCGTTACGACACCATCGACATCAGTGCTAACAGATGAGTTAACCAAGTTTGGAATAATAAATCTGTACTTCTACTTGAGTAAAGGATGTGTAGACTTTTGACATCTCTGCTGGAAGCTATTCCTTTCACTGTGAGTCTCTGTGCCTTGGTGCATGATTGTGTACCTGCTCAGGTGAGTTTCTTGCAGTAGACGGATCTGCAGAGCGGACAGGAAGGTCTGCTTTCTGTGGAAAAGGACTCGAAGGCCTCCAGACAGATCTGATGGAAGAGATGTGAGCAGGACAGCATCACAGTGTGTCTGCGCTGTGATTGGCTGGAGGAACCTGCTTCTGGAGCGATGCTCAATGCAGTCAGGCAGATCGGGCAGTCCTTCACACCTCTCTGGATCACCTGGTGGAGAAAAGAAAACGTTTAAAACATCAGCAGGAGAGGACTCTTTAAAGTAGAGACACTACATACTGATATACACCTGCACATCAGCAGGAGAGGACTCTTTAAAGTAGAGACACTACATACTGATATACACCTGAACATCAGCAGGAGAGGACTCTTTAAAGTAGAGACACTACATACTGATATACACCTGAACATCAGCAGGAGAGGACTCTTTAAAGTAGAGACACTACATACTGATATACACCTGAACATCAGCAGGAGAGGACTCTTTAAAGTAGAGACACTACATACTGATATACACCTGAACATCAGCAGGAGAGGACTCTTTAAAGTAGAGACACTACATACTGATATAAACCTGAACATCAGAAGGAGAGGACTCTTTAAAGTAGAGACACTACATACTGATATACACCTGAACATCAGCAGGAGAGGACTCTTTAAAGTAGAGACACTACATACTGATATACACCTGAACATCAGCAGGAGAGGACTCTTTAAAGTAGAGACACTACCTACTGATATACACCTGAACATCAGCGGGAGAGGACTCTTTAAAGTAGAGACACTAGATACTGATATACACCTGAACATCAGCAGGAGAGGACTCTTTAAAGTAGAGACATTTGGGGTCCGTTAAACGCTTCATAACGAGCCGCTCTGTACGGAGTTTGTGGAAAAGGTGATGTGTTGAAAGCACATTCATCGTTTGATACTCAAGGCTGAGCCACTCCTGCTCACCCCTTTCACACCAGATAAAGAAACAACACACATCTTCTTTGCACACCACCCCACACATCCCCCCCCCCCCCCCCTCCTCCCCCCCCCCCCCCCCCCCCCCCCCCCCCCCTCCTCTTCTATGGAAAATGGCTGCATGAAAAGCCAACAATGGAGCCTTAAGGAAGAGCAAATCTTAATGTCTTTTCAATTCCTCCGCAGCAGGCAGGGCGGTGAAAAGCCTGCCGTGCATTCTCATGTTTTCGGTAAACACGGAGGATTATTAGCTTTTCATTTGATAAAGTGAATGATCACCTCTGGATGAGAGCCCTTTCTATACAAGCAGCTGTGATGATGGCGTCCACATGCAAGCGTTAACACGCCATGCAGACCAGAAAAGATCCCTGACTCCAGTTAAAGTACAAATATTATGGTCTTTCGTAATACGCAGACATACCCATGCAGACAATAGTCGATTTGCAGAGTTTTTTGTAGGTTATCGAGTCCATTTCTGACATTTTGAGGATCAGAAATACCAGTTTTAACCAGAAAGAGACCATGTTTGTACTCTCTGTGCACTGATTTTGGTGGTGTTGGGACCATTGGATATAGAGAGCACAAGATATAAATAATAACCTCTACTGTGGACAACTTTCCTTCAAATAAAAAGGCAATCTGTCCAATCCAAATGATCCGGAGTCCACTAAGTCTTCCAATACGACCCAGAATTCATCAAAAGAGAGTAAAAATATGGCCTCTTGCTGGTTTAAACTGACATCTTTTATCGTGCTGAGGTCAGAAATGGTTTTAGGGTCCTCAATAACTCTCCAAAATCACTCATAAAGTCACTGTTTAACTGCTGTCCATATAGGCTTTATTGCTAATTAACGCAACTTATGCTAATTGTGCAAATTACCCATCAAATGCAGGTTAGAATCCATTCGTTTTCTATGTTCTGGGGACCCTACTATATGTCAATTTTAACCAGAAAGAGGCCAGAGACTACTTTCCTTCAAATAAAAAGGCAATCTGTCCAATCTAAATTATCCAGAGTCCACTAAATCTTCCAAATCAACCCAAAATTAATCAAAATCAGTCCATAGAGAGTACAAATATGGCCTCTTTCAGGTTAAAACTGCCATTTTTTATCCTTTAAATGTCAGAAATGGACTCAGCATCCTCAATAACCTCCAAAATCACTCATAAAGCCATTTTTTAACAGTTGTCCACATAGGCTATACTGCTAATTAGTACAACTTATGCTAATAGCGCTGGAGACCCTACTATACTGACCTGGCTGTGGATTTGGTCCCAGTCGTCCTCCTGAGGTTCAGAGACGTGTTTTCTCTTCAGCTGCTCGAACACTCGCCGGCTGGATGACAGCGAGCGGTCGATTTCACTCAGAAAAGCCTCCGTGTCGGTGTGACAGTATCGGACAAAGCTGTCATTCAACTCCTGCAACTAATCAGAGAGAAAGGGAACATGTTAGCGGCACAAAGCAGGCGCTCAGACGCACAAAAGGAGACGTGTTTTTTCGGCGGAGGCTTAATTGTTTGTGTGTATTGTGATGGCTGAGGCAGGCTGACAGGGAGCAGTTGTTAAACAGCCAGATCAATAAAGCCAAGGCTCAAACTAACATGGAGGATTAATGGAAACCAGTAAAAAAAAAAAAGGGCTACACGCACACACACACATCTTTGACACCTCTCTCTGTCGTTACACACGCTTATAAACATGGTCTTGTACAGTTTAGGAGTCATTTAGGATTCATTCTACCAAAATAACCTCAACATTAATTCAGATTACCCTTAAACACATAGCATTTACTGCTACCATTGTCGAGTTTGAGGTGGAAGGCAGGTGTTTTTTTACCTGGATTGAACTCTTATCTATCCAGGCAGGGCTGTAGCTGCCTTTAAGGGAATTTATTTCTAGGAATTTAGGGAATTTTGAGTTTTCTTAAGAGATAGGACATCTATAAACCATATAATGTCATTTCTGACAACATTTAGACGTACATGTTGGTACGTGACACAAAAATATAATATTAAACAACCACTAAATGATTAGAAAATAATACATTTGAATACCTAAGACATGCTTTTTGATGTCTCGTCAAAATGTCTGTCTTTCGTCAGGTCACTTTCTTACATACGTCTCCATTTATACATTTTAAAAACGTCTCTACTCTTGTCTTTCTTTCATTTGTCCTCTCCAATATACAGCGGCTGTTGCTAGGCAAAATTAACACCTGCATATGCATTTATTTATATCCAAAACATCATCAATGATTGGGCTATTTACAAATCCAATGTACAGATCAGACACACCGTACTAACTATGTGCAATCCTGTAGTGTGTTTCAATGCATGTAAATGGTCTGCAAAGGCTCAAATCTCTTGTAATCATCATTGCAAGGCACTACATGTAACGTCTTGTAAATACTGCACCATGCTACTTAGATTAGCATTAGCTTTAGCACCTGTTTCCTCTGTCTGCGAGCCCGTCACAGTGACATCAGCGTTGCTTTACAGCGAGGCTTTTATCACTAATTAAACAGCTGTTGGCCGTGAGGATGGAGGGTTTTTATGAGGCTGGAGGACTTCTCCACGCTCAGGGCAAACAGCGGTGAACTTTGCCTTGAGAGGGAGAAGAGATTGGGACAGGAGAGGAGGCGTTATCTCACGGTGATCCATCACTTCTGACCCTCTTAATGTGTTGACTCAGGGTGAGCAGAAACTGAAAGCTGGGCATCGGGATCAGCTGATAACGTTTCAGTAATGTGGGTTTTTTCCAGGGACAACGGTCGCCTGGTGGTGCAAAGATGCTTTACGGCAGGGGTGTCCAAACTATATTATATGTATAAATATATGACAGTATTTATGTGTTAATAAGCCTTTTCCAAATACATTTCAAGCCCAATTTCCCGTCCATATAAGCGATCCGAGTTCTCTGTTTTAAGGAATGAGCGACCAACTCTTTTTGTAACAAGATAATTGACCTACATTTGATTTTGCAAACTTATAACTTAACTCAGGGGTGTCCAAACTACGACCTTCTTAAATATATGTACAAATATATGACAGTATTTATGTGTTAATAAGCCTTTTTCAAATACATTTCAAGCCCAATTTCCACCTCATTATAAGCAATGGCTTCTGTTTTAAGGAATGTGCTTCCAACACTTTCTGAAACAAGATACATGAAACTCTATGGAGAGCTGTGAGAGCTTAATTGACCTACATTTGATTGATTTTGCTGACTTATAACTTAACTTATGAGGCAGTAAGTGAACTTATGAGTGGCATATCGTTCTGTCTGTGTCAAACATTTGGACGCCCCTGCTGCATGGCCTCCTGGGGAAAAGCTGAAAGAGAAGAGGTGTCTCCGTCTCTCAGGTCCAGCGCTAACACGCCTGTTTGCTTTACAGTCAGCTAAGCAAATACGTCTCCTGTTGAACATGAAGTCAGTCAGAGCTGTCAGCAGATCATCCTCAGTGTGACAACAGATACGAGACCATCTCATGACCACCCAGCAGCTGTGAGTCACATCGAGGAGAGGATCTGACTCGGACACGGCTGTTTTCAAGGAGTGTAGTTATGTCGATGGAAATCTGAGGTCCCAGGCTCCTCCAACACAATAACACAGAAGAGAAGTAGTGCCATAAGAGTCTATATACAAGTGATAGATACTTTGTTGTCCTTGACATCTGTGATTCTGTCTATTCTGTTTTATCAGGAAACAAAAGGTTCCAGGACAAAGACACTCGTATGTACTTCAGGGATGATAGGATGGATAAAGATTTAGTCTTTTTTGTGCATTTAATTGTATTTTTAGGGAAATGTCAAATCCATGAAAAGAGATGGGCTGACTCCAAAACACATTTTGTACTTTTTATCAAGAATTTTAACAATATATTAGCACTATTAAAACATTAGGAGTAAGAAGGCAATCAAAACGAATTTGATATTTAAAAAGAATTTAATCTAAAATGTATTTTTACTTGATCTCACCATTAAAGTATTATTCTATCGTATCGTGTCTAGTGCTTGAGTAAAAGTAGAAGTACTCAGATCTTGTACTTGAGTAAAAGTAAAAGTACTCAGGTCTTGTACTTGAGTAAAAGTAGAAGTACTCTGATCTTGTACTTGAGTAAAAGTAGAAGTACTCAGGTCTTGTACTTGAGTAAAAGTAGAAGTACTCAGGTCTTGTACTTGAGTAAAAGTAGAAGTACTCAGGTCTTGTACTTGAGTAAAAGTAGAAGTACTCAGGTCTTGTACTTGAGTAAAAGTAGAAGTACTCAGGTCTTGTACTTGAGTAACAGTAGAAGTACTCAGATCTTGTACTTGAGTAAAAGTAGAAGTACTCAGGTCTTGTACTTGAGTAAAAGTAGAAGTACTCAGATCTTGTTCTTGAGTAAAAGTATTCAGATCTTGTACTTGAGTAAAAGTAGAAGTACTCAGGTCTACATCAGATGCACGCTGAAGGCTCTGAGCATGTGTTCTCTCACTGATCCTGCTGTTATGTTACATGTTTGTTTGTTTCTCATGTGTCGTGTCTTGATGTCTGTCTGTTGATGTTACTCATGGAGCTGCTGGGAGCAAGGAGCATTTCAGACTTGATCTGACCGTTAAAGTATTATCGTATCGTAATGTGAGAGTTAATTGGCTCAGTAAATGCTGTGTCTTTGTTTATGTGACATGTTAAGGCGAGGGACACGGAGAGGGGACGGTAGGACACTCAGACCCTTGAAAGACATTATGATCCCCTTCAGACATGTGTCACTTGTGCTTAATCAGCCTGTTTGAAGCACTCTGCATGATTACTGTTAGAAAACTCTCTCTGGTCCCCGGCTAGTCATCACATACAGAGCATCAACTAGTTCCTGAACAGTGTCCTTCACATGCTGATATCCAAGAGAGGGAGTTACACAGTCACAAGATGGAGGAATAGAAAGCAGTATTCAATGTTTACTTCAGATTAGCTCCACGTCAGAAATGAGCATGCTTGTCATATGTCTATCTCCATAGAGGCTGAATCATCATGTTAATCACATAGCTATCATATGCCTCAAACAGTCCTGATGCTCTTCTAGGTAATCACACATCCTGTCATGTTCACAGCTACAGTTGGGATACCTTTGTTAGCATGTGGACTCTGATTGGAAGAGGACATTCAGGATGTTCACAACAATTACACATAGAAACACACCGATGCATCACGTCTGATATATACGGTGTTGGATCTCCGGCTGATTTAACGAAAGAGAAATCTCTGCATCCCTGAACAGCTGATTTCTGGGTTAAAGACATGTTGACCCGTCTGGTCTCTGGTCATCCGTGGCCTCAGTTAGGGGAGGTTCACTAGGTGGCAATGTTCCCTTTTTCTGAGAGCTCAGTGAAGGCACCACAGCCTCAGAGACCCTGAGTCCACTTCCGAATAATCCCTCCGTCAATCTGCATGATTTATAGCTTCCAAATGAGACGGGAGAACAAAAGCCTAAAATGACAACCTGTGTCAGGTCGCCAAACATCCTGGTCACCTCTGCACCCTGTCCCTAGTAACACACACACTCACACACTCACACACCGAGCATGTATAGATGGATGAAGGGACATCAGGCCTTTGTGTTGACCCAGGAATGTCCTCGGTGTTTGACTAAAACACAAAACTCTCTCCACATTAGCAGACAAACAGCGTGCGTCTCACAAAGCATCAAAGGACCTGGAGAGGGTGAGAGCAGGTGAAGGTGTGTGTGTGTGTGTGTGTGTGTTAGCAGTGGGGTCAGTGAGTCCCTGAAACCCACGTCTCGACTCTGAAGACGTATGGGGTTTGTTTGAGGCTGTGTTTGACCAACCACCAAACGGTCTGAAAAAGCGTGATATGTAGAAAAACTAAACTCAAGGAGACCGATGCTATAACAACACGACCTTATGATTGTTAAGTGTGATCCAAAGAAACCCTTTGCTGCAGATTTGAAGTCCAAACTCACCTTTGCTTCGAAGAATTGTCGTCGCAGCCGCTTGTCTTTTGGACAGGAGGATTTCCTCAATTCTCTGTAACGTTTTCGGGCAACATAGCCACGCCAGCACGCTTGAATCCTGCAAACATATATACAAAAACTGGTTCAAATGTTGCACCAGAAATGTGTTAGAAGTCAAGCTGTATAAGCCAATGCTGTTCATGTGAAGCCATTAGCTTCGTGCACTTCCCAATTCCAATTATTGCACCTTAAAACTATTATTTTGTAATAATTAAAAGCTCAACTAAACCCTGGAGTTGCCACATGTATCCAAACTCAGATATATTCAACAACATGAGTTTCATTTATAAAAATGTGCAACTATGATATGATCGATTTGAAGATAAGTTAAGCTATTGAACCCGAAATGTTTGGGTTGTTAAGTAGGAATTAAAGAGTAGAAATAAACAATACTAGAATTTAAACATCTCAAAACAGAAAAATACACAGTAGACCGTGAAAAAATCTATAAACTCACTTTTGAATTTGATCACGACTCAATATTTAAAGAGAGTTCTTTGTGTATGAAACGTTTCTGTGTTTGAGGATATTTCGTCTTAGATTCAAGATTTCTTTTCAAACACAATTATTGTAAAATACAGGTTTTCAAAGCATGCATTTATCTGGTTGCACCTGGTGGCACATTGGTGTCTGAACAGGTGCGCTGCGTCGTGAATCACTCGGGTTTCGTACTGATCTTTTCTGCACATCGGGCAGCACTTCCTCCCAGAAAACCTCTCGAAGGCCTGCAGGCACGCTCGATGGTAAACATGCGAACAGGACAGCAACACCTGAGAGAAACAGGATTCAAAAGATTGAACATGCACATGAGCTAAAGGGTAGGAATGGCAAGGAAATTCTTCTGACCTGAGCTCCTCCAACAAGGCAACATATATAACAAAGGCTATTTCCTTAACGATGAATCAATTATTCAGATAATTGTCTGTATTTTTATGTCTACTATCGATCCCAGTTTCTCAAATTCTCTCAAAATGTGGATTCCTCAGACTAAAATCCAAAGATATTCACTGTAATGTGATATAAACCCCAGTGAACAGCGCATTTGTTCGATTGTTGGGGCTTAAAATAGCAGTTTCCTTAATGATTAATCAATTATCAAGATATTTCTTTGCGTACCATCGATCCCAGTTTCTCTCGAAATGTGGATTTCTCAAACAAAAATAAATGAAATTCTTCTGACCTGAGCTCCTCCAACAATGCAACATATATCATAAAATACAAAATTAAAAATAGTGCAAGAAGTCTATATACATGTCATTAGAATATGGGATGTGTACAAGAACAGAATATGAAATGTAATAATGTAAATTAAGTCAAATTAAATACATCCTGTGTGGTCGGTAGGTCATTCCTTAAAACAGAGGCCTCAGATTGCTTATAATGAGGGGGAATCGGGCTTGAAATGTATTTGAAAAAGGCGTATTAACACGTAAATACTGTCATATATTTGGTCTCCAGAACATAGAAACTACCGGCATATGTTGGGCAATTTGCACAATTTGCACAATTAGCATAACGTGTGTTAATTAGCAATATAACCTATATGGAAAACAGTTAAACAATGGCTTTAGGAGAGGTTTGGGGGGTTATTGAGGATGCTAAATCCATTTCTGACATTTTAAGGATCAGAAATTGCAGTTTTAACCAGAAAGAGGCCATGTGTGTACTCTCTGTGGTCTGGTTTGTTTTACAAAAAGAGTTGGTAGCAGAAGCCTCAGATCGCTTATAATGAGGGGGAATTGGGCTTGAAATGTATTTGAAAAAGGCTTATTAACACTTAAATACTGTCATATATGTGTACATATATTTAAGAAGGCCGTAGTTTGGACAATTAAATACGGTTACGGCACAATCACATGCGTTATTCAGTAAACCGTATCATGCATGCAATAAAAACCAATCTACAGTTTCACAGGTTGACTGAATATGTGGGTTGAGACGTCTCTGGAGGACGATGCTGTGTTCTTCTTAAAGTGCTTAGGAAAAAAAGCTCTTACAGTGGATACAGCCTGTGCTCATGCTGTGTGTGTATGGGCGCCTTAAGCCATGCTAAATGTGTGTATTCATGCACGTATGAGAATGTGTGTATCTGCCTTTTAAGTGTTATTTGCTGAGAGGATTCAGCAGGAGTCTCGGAGTATATTCCACCTGAGAGAGGGTCTCTGTGGTTTGAAAGCTCGGCACACAAACCAGTTTACTCAGATCTCTAGAGGGCACTGGGGGTGGGTGGGGGGGGGGGGGGGAGCATATTGATTTCCCATTGTTTTTGGCCTGAGCAACACACTCCATCACCAGTGAAAGGGCCCCCTGCAGAGGACAATTTCCAGGAGCTTGACAAGCCATTAGACCACAGAGAGAGATTCTCACAGTGACTACAGGCGATGGAGAAATGGAATAAAAACACTACAGGGTAACACTCCCTTTTTAAATCCTACAGAACATACAGTACCTGATTGGTGTTGAAGTAACATGATTTCAGTCCACATACAAGCTGCTTTTAATAAAGTATATCGTTAGAGCTGGTTACCCTACATTTGTCCTCCTGAGTCCTACTGTTTATGGTTTAGATTAGAACATACTGCAGGGGGGAGGGTGTGTGTGTGTGTGTGTGTGTGTGTGTGTGTGTGTGTGTGTGTGTGTGTGTGTGTGTGTGTGTGTGTGTGTGTGTGTGTGTGTGTGTGTTACTGTTCTATATATTTTAAGTGTTGTTTTAATGTTTTTTAATGAATTTGATATTTTATTTTATTTGTATTTCTTTTTTATCCAATAAGCGTTATTACGGTTATGTATTATTGTATTTAACTTGTTGTTGTTGTTGTTGTTGTTGTTGTTGTTGTGAGATGTCAGTGTGTTGTCCTCCTGAGTCCTACATTTTATGGTATTTTAATGTATTGTTTTGACTGTCTTTTAGTCTTTCATTTGATGTGTATCATGTCTTTTATCATATTAATGATGAGTTAACACTGTCCTCTCTGTGTGTTCATCTGTAAAGCCCACGTGTTTTGTGATTTTAGGATATATAAATAACCTTTGATTTGATTTAAACTTCTTGTCGTGTCCTTCTTTGTGTCTTCCAATCATCTCCTGTGAAATAAAATGATCGTCCCACACACTGTTAAATATGAAAGCAGGGTAACATTTAAACCGTACAGAAAACACCTGATTTGTAATAACAGGAATGCAGTGCACACATGTGCTGCTTTTAATTGTCCCATCAGTGCTTGAATGCAACACAACCGTTAGATACAAAGGAGCATCAGCACAGATTCCCTCCTGTCACTTTCTCCTTGTTAGCAGGCTCTAATTAACTTTTTTTTTGTGTGCCTCGACTAATATTTACACGTGCATCTATGGCAACTGTGCTTTGTGAGGCGGCCTATTCTAGTCTCCGCATTCTTCAGGAGATTGGCATCTTAAAAGGGGGATCGGAAAGGTGTAAAAAGCCTGAATGACCCTCACAGTAACTCACTGATTGCTACATCATCGCGTCACAGTTGAGCTCCAGGGCAGTATGGGTAAATTTGTACAGTTGTCTACACAGATTAGAACATACAGGAACTGCAGGGGGGCGGGGTGTGTGTGTGTGTGTGTGTGTGTGTGTGTGTGTGTGTGTGTGTGTGTGTGTGTGTGTGTGTGTGTGTGTGTGTGTGTGTGTGTGTGTGTCTTCTTTCGAATCTCAAAACAACCTTATTGTTGTGTTTTTATACATTTTAAGGGTTGTTTTTATGTTGTTTTAATAAATTTGAGCATGTAAACTGTCTTTGAGTACCATGAAAAGCGCTCTTTAAATAAACCTGCATTATTATTATTATTAATTATTCTTCTGGGTCGATCCTTTTGACTATTTTTCTTTGTATTTCTTAATTTATTCTTTTGTTTTTTATTTAATGACTGTTACAACTGTTATTTATAATTGTATTTCACTTGTTGTTGTTGTTGTTGTGAGATGGTAATGTCATATCAGTGTGTGAAGACGTTCCCTTTTAATAAAGCCTATAGTTAGAGCTGGTTACCCTACGTTTGTCCTACATTTTATGGTCTGTCTTTTGGTTGTATTTTATCTAATTTTATTTGTATTTCACGTTCTATCATGTATTTTATAATTTGTGCAAAATAACAATTGACTTTGTGGAACCATCTCCATATATCCAAAATCCATGCCATATTAATTCACTTGCATTCCAGACGCTGTGCATATTTACATATCGATAAACTTTGATTTGATGTCAACGTGTCCTTCTTTGTGTCTCCGAATCCTCTCCTGTGAAATACTCAAAGTGCTTAATGAGTGTTCCCAGTCTCTGCTGTGTTGGATGAATACCTGAGGATGAAGGTGAAACTCCTCTCTGCAGATTGAACAGGGTTGAGCCGAGTCTCCGTGATGAACAGATCTCATTTTAACCCGAGTCCAATCCTCCTCCGTCAGCCTCTCTGCAGGGGAGGCCACCAAACCCAACTTCTGAGCTGCAAAACAGAGCAAAGACACTGGTTTTAAACAAGAATAATGACTTAAAGGTCACCTATCATGCTATTTTTAGGCTATAGCATAGGTCTCAGATATATAAAAATATATTAAAAAACATGTCTATGAAGTGTTTTGCTCAAAATACCAAACAGATCACCCATTCTAGCCATGCCTCATATCCCTCTATTTCACTTCCTGTTTCTAAAGTGCTGATTTGGGGTATAACGGTTTAAAAAAATAAAAAAGGAGGGGTCTGAGCTCATGCGGGACCCGGCAGCTACTGTCTAAACTAAATACTGCCGTGATGAAACGCCATATCATGGATTATCAAGGATTGTTTCTGAAACAGTATGGAGCTCAAAGGCTTTCTCTCTTGCCGGTTATACCACAAGGTGAGTTCCTTTTTATTTCCTGCTTCTTCACACACATGCTCTCCAGTACAGGTTAGCTCTGAGTGTTAGCGATGCTAATGTAAACACAGACCATATTACGTCCAAAACAGTCGGGCATTGTTTCTGATAGCAACGTTTCTGATAGGGCCGTGGGTCCACATTTCAGATATTACGTCATATCGGACGCAAATCTGGATCAGCTCCGTTTTTAGAGATTTGGGTACGGAGGAAAAGAGAGAGGGTTTTATTTTCCCTGACACACCGGGGACACATGTTGATGTATAAAAGACATCAAAAAGTGCATTTAGCATGATAGGTCCCCTTTAAATGTAACAGGATTACGTAAAGAAGTAACTGTATTCCCTTACAGTTAAATAAAACAGATCAGATGTCACACTTCCAGAAATTGAGGATTACAAGTAAAAACTAAACAGAGCATATGTTGTACTGTATAATCATGAAAAATTAAGTATTCCCACACTGTAGTTTGCCATATACTCATTATCCTGTGTTTCACATTAAAATCGAGCAATAAAACACATTAAAAGCCATTTTGAAGAGGTGAGTTTTGTACGTTTTTGGATTGTTTATGTTCTTACCACCAGATACCAAATCAAATTCCTTGTATGTGTAAACGAACCTGGCAATAAACTTGATTCTGATTCTGATGTTTTACTGTGCATTTTACCTAGTGTTAAAGGCGGTGGAGCCGAATCCAGCACATATTCTGTCTCCTCCTGCTGATCTGGGGTCTGCAGGCCGTTGACTTCCACTCTTTTTCGAGTTGATTTCCATTTGTACTTCCATAAAGGGTCTTCAGGGGAGAAATGTGGAAACAACAGGCTGCGAGTGATGTGGTCTTGGAAAGCAGCCGAGTTGATCACCAGCTTGTTGCTCGCTTTAGACGCCAAACCCTGTGAACATAGGATATTTATGTGGATTATTCCCCAACAGAAAGTACTGCACTTAAGTACACATTTGAGGTACTTGTACATTACCTGAGTATTTTCATTTTATACTACTTTATTCTTCTTCTCTACTACATTTTGGAAGCCAATGTTGTACTTTTTACCCTACTAAAATTATATTTACTCTATAAATTCAGATTTTGACACGCAATACTTGGGAAATACTTTTACAATATGAGTATTTGGAGTAGATTAAACCATCCAACATTATATTTAAGTCACTAAAACCATGATTGGGTTAACTCAAAGCTCCAGTGTCTTAAAAATGTGAAGATTTTCTGATTTTGCTTTTAAATATTTAAAAATATTTACATATTTTTATAGTTTTTTCTGCATATTCTGAATACTTTAATTAAATGTTTCTAATCATACTTAAATACCATTGTCAAGGCAGTACTTCGACTTGAAATTGAGTGTTTTTACAGTGTGGTATTACTACTTTTACTCAAGTAACAGTTTACATGGGACTTAGCACAACTTTCTAACCTTTGCATATTAAATACACAAACAGTATTTAACTCAGAATTAGCTAAACAAATGCATTGTGAAACTTGCTGTCCGACCACATAGTAGGCTATGAGGAATATAAAATGCTAATTGTCAAATATAAATAACTATTGTAGCAACAAGTGCTTTAACAATAAGCCTCACCTCATTGTATGCATTTATAAGAAAGTGCGTTGCTTGTTTTCAGTGTAAAACGAAACGGTTTGCGGGTAAACTCACACAGGTGTTTGCTAATTGCTAACTCATTAGCAGCAGGTGCAAAAGAAAACAAACCCAGTTGAGATTTAACCACGCCCACTTTCGAATCAACGTAGCTCTGCGTGATTACGTCATGTATGTATAAAGAGAACGTTGTCTTTCTAACGACACTCACTTCGACCATATAAAGCCAGATATGTGTAAGAAAAAGACTTAATGAACACAAAGATAGTAAACCTGAACATAAATCAACATATCTCTCTTTGTATTGTCAATAAACAATTAGTTAAATGTGGTGAAAAACAGTTTAAAATCCAAACCTTCCGCATTGCCATCCTGCCAACGCAGTGTTAGTGGTTGCCAGGTAACCAGTCAAGGATCCGCCTCCTCCCCCCACGTGGAGCCTCATCGATCCCTCTGATTGGCTGAGCCGTATCAGCTGGTTGGTTGTTATTTAAAAGTCATTGTAATGTGTTTTACGTATTTATTTAAATAATTATGTACTTTTCATTTCTTAAGTTCGATATATTTCTAAAGGCTTGTGAGTTAAGTTATATATATATAATTTTGTAATGTTTAACACATAATTAGTATGTAATGGCTTACATGTTAATCAAGTGCGTGAGACCATGCAAAACACATGAGATAATTTACACTGCAAACACACACTTCCTTCATCCTTTCATCATTTCATTTCATCCTTACTCCACTCCAATTGGGATAGGAAAATATTACCTTTTAGTCAAATAATTGTATTTTTATTTGCATGCTTAGCAGAAAACATGTAATTTCACCAAAGTAAGATGCAGGAGTTTTAATTGTAACTGTTTTAATTGAGGTATAGGATCTAAATACTTGTTGATAGTTTTAAATATACAAAATGTGTCACGTCTATCCCCTCTGTCACCGTGCAGAGACAATCCAGCTCTTTGAAACCCACGTCTCGATCTCCCCTAATGATTATTTTATTGTCAGGGAGTTGTCAGAGAGGAGGTGATTGTGCAGGTGAGTCAGGAGCTGTCGTCACAAAGCTAAGCTGCTCATACCTGTGCCGTGAGCTCAGGATCCCTCCCAGGTCACATGGAAAACCATACACACACACACACACACACACACACACTTTCTGTGATGAAAAGCCTGCTGTATTTCACACACACAGCGTTGGGTGGGTGTATTTCTACTCCACTACATGTATTTAATCCCTTTAGTTACTTTACAGATGTGGATGAATGATGTGAAATATAATCAAGTGTTAAATCAGACTTTAGTTCCACCTGGAGTAAATTCACAAGCTCCCCTGCAGTATACAAAGTCATTCAAACTAGCTGCACCTTTACCAGCTTTGAGAACACTTTCATGATCAATCATTATAAAACATATCATATATATTATTCTGAAATGGACCAATCTGCACAATGACTACTTTTACTGTCGCTACTTTCACTATACTTTGATGAGAATACTTTTCTACTTTGACTTGAGGAACATTTTGAATGCAGGACTTTTACTGAAACAGAGTATTCCTACACTCTGGTACTTCTACTTTTACTCAAGTATAAGATCTGAGTACTTCTACTTCTACTCAAGTACAAGACCTTAGTACTTCTACTTTTACTCAAGTACAAGATCTGGGTACTTCTACTTTTACTGAAGTACAAGATCTGAGTACTTCTACTTTTACTCAAGTACAAGACCTGAGTACTTCTACTTTTACACAAGTACAAGACCTGAGTACTTCTACTTTTAATCAAGTACAAGATCTGAGTACTTCTACTTTTACTCAAGTACAAGATCTGAGTACTTCTACTTTTACTCAAGTACAAGACCTGAGTACTTCTACTTTTACTCAAGTACAAGACCTGAGTACTTCTACTTTTACTCAAGTACAAGACCTGAGTACTTCTACTTTTAATCAAGTACAAGATCTGAGTACTTCTACTTTTACTCAAGTACAAGATCTGAGTACTTCTACTTTTAATCAAGTACAAGATCTGAGTAATTCTCCCACCTCTCTCTCTGTGTGTGTGTGTGTGTGTGTGTGTGTGTGTGTGTGTGTGTGTGTGTGTGTGTGTGTGTGTGTGTGTGTGTGTGTGTGTGTGTGTGTGTGTGTGTGTGAGAGTCTTTTAAAATGCTTTGCAGCCTCGATGTGTTCAGGGAGAGTCGGTGAAAAGCAGATGTCCGAGGAGAAGGCTAACGGGGAGGCTTGTCAATCCAGAGTGTGTTCTAAGAAAACAAAAAGTGAAGAAGAGGAGGAAACCCCTGAACACTCCTGAGCTTCTCAAGAGGCTGCTGCATTCTTGAGATTAGGGCAAGAAAAACGCAGACCACTGCCGCTAATGCCCCAGACAAAGGCGTGGAACAATTTATTAGCTAAGAATTCAAGCTCGGAGCTGAATCAAAGGCCCCGTCGTCCCATCGCCAGACTCAGGCTTTGTTTTGTTGTTTTAAGTAAATAATCACGCTTAAAAGATACGGCAGAGACGTTCCTCCCATAAAGCCGGCATTCTTCCAACTGTCATCAGACGGGATTTCGCTGTGCGCTTTAATTTTCAACAGGTACATTGTTGCTCGTTTTCTTTATGAATACCATTTTAAAGAGCTTTTTATTTAACTTTCTTCCCCCCTTCCCCCTGGACCCCTTTCCCTGAGCTGTGGTATTTCTGAAAAGACAACTCAGCTTGACGTGCAAAGAGCTGATGACTGTCATGGGAATTTATAATAATACAATATATATATATATGGTTTCCTAACTACTAAATGTTCTCAGACAGAAGGGTGTCGCCTTGACCATGTCAGGCAATTATCATATGGATGTTAAGGTTGTAATTAACATACTATACTTACTGTACTATTCTGTGTAACTTCAGTCAGATTCTTGTGCTACATCAGTGGTGCAGGTTATCTGTCCTTCCAGCTGGAAATAGATGCTATGCTAGATGCTATAACTCATTATTAAATAACACAACTTTGGTTTAAGCTTGTATATTTGTACCAGAAGGTGATTCAGTGAAACCACGACTTGTGAAGATGTGTGCGATGCAACAGGTTCTGCTAATGCTAACAGAGATAAACTCAACCACTGTGATTCATCGCAGGAAATACCACGCGAGACCAACATGACGGTGATCAATAACTGAGTAAATAAAGCATCTGGCTGGGAGTAAACGCGCCACACTTTCATGAGTTCATACCCATAAAACGGGTGTGTTTCCATACATCATGCACTGTGATATATCGCATTGTTGTCAAATGAGTAATTGCCGTGAGATATAGATGAGAGAGGGCAGCCCATAATGGTTAATTAACAATTATGTCAGCCAGTGAGATGACCAGGAGACCAATCACTTTGATAGGAGAGACAGTGGAGGGGGAAAGAAATCTAATTATTTTATGACCTGACCCATAATGCTTCCTTAACATGACTTTAATCACTGCACGGTGGATAGGAGTCCCCCAAAGGCATTCTGGGAGTGAACCAGTGAGGAGGAGCTTCACTATTCTCCGTTATCTCCTGCGTCATTGCTGAGTAAGTAAGCTATAAAAGAACACAGCCATCATTACCGCCGTTTGGTAGCTTTTTAGAGAGATGGAGCTCCTAATGATTAGACATGTCCTTTGTAAATGAAATACAAATCACCCCGGGCTTTTGGTTTTACTTCATTTACTAAGTGCTACATTACCTCATACTTTGGACCTAACAATGGATTTCCTATAAATCTCCGGCTGGTTGAAATGATGAAGGGGCTCACATATCACGAAACGTGCCAGTGCTTATTAGCACTTGAGAAGTTATTGATCGAGTGTTTTGATTAATATCCATTGGGGGGCTATGCTGGCATTCAAAAGGGAGTCTGCTGTGAAACTGACCGGGACTTTTCCCTTCACTTTGTGCTGAGACGACAGCCACTGCAGCGTCACCATGCCAGGAATAAAGCCCTCCTATTTCCCAATTCTTCACCATTATTCAAACATAAATATATTGAGACTATGGAGGGCTGGCTTATTGGTGTAAGTGATGTATGGGTCAGCAACAGGTTGGCAAAACGGTTGGATAATTAGCAAACAGACAGCGTATGGTCCTAAAACACACTCAAGGATCCTGGAATGGATATTGTGAGATGCATTGGGACGAGTTAAGTGATTAATCTTCCGTAAAATGATATTTATTTTGCATTTTTTCCGGTTGCTGACGTCTACAAACAGGCTACAACGGTCCAAAACATTCCCATTAAGAGATACAGTATGCAAAGGAGCTTCAAGAATGTTTTTGGCTAGTTGTTCCCACTGCTCCCAGTCACCATCCTAAGCTAAGCTAACCCTAATAGGTCAAACCTTGCTTTACTGTGTGTAAAAATACAAGAATCATCCTAAAAAATACGAAATGTCTGTATATTTTCATCATGGATGCTACTGTAAGACAAATCACCTTCAAATGACTGCAGCGGGAACCGATAGCTTCTGGCATGGTTGTGCGGCCATCTTTCTCCATAATGGACAATAATGGAGCAGAATCCATCACTATAGCTCGAAATAGCCCACCATAATGACCATAAATTGTGCCCTGTGAAGGCCTGAGCTCTGAAACCCAGCCACCCCGCTGCGTCTTTCAGCCTTACATTCTGACTCCATGCTGATTACATACAATGCATATCCAGCGGAGTCAAATCATACCTTTGAGGAGCATTCGGTCGAGCTTTGAAAGGTGTGACAGGCACAATGCATGGCTGTGATTCTGTGAAATAAAAGATGCCTGATTGACAACTTGACTTTACATTTCCCTGATGTCATTTGCACATCCATCAGTACTATTTGGACACTTTTTGACCGTATTTCTAAGATAAGGCTGTGGAGAATCACACACATATATCAAAGAGGAGCTACTGTAAACGTAATTACCTTATTTTATTTTATTTCCTTAAAGGAGCACCAGAATTAAATACGCAGGGCTTCTGGAGACTTCCTTTCAAAGTCCATAAATCAGCCCCAGCTGCTATTTCCTCTGATTGAAACGAGTGCAAAGAGCATGAAGTTTGCCTGAGCTGTGGGGAATGTGTTTGTGGTGAGTCTCATAAATGCCAAGTTCTTTGGGCAATAAGAATAAATATCACAACCACTCTCTAGAATTACCACATAATTGGGGACTTTCCGCGTCTGCACAGGACTCCGCTGTCTCCTCCTCTAGATGTACTACAACGGATGAGTCCATATTTAGGGGAAGAGGGGTGGGAACATGGTGGGAAGAACCATATTTAGCCCGTCAATGCACAACATTTCAGACTGCTTTAAACAAGAGTTTTAAAAAAAAGGGGCCAAAACCAAAACAAACAGAGGCAACTTCAAACATGTTGGGTAACAAACATTAAATATTATTTTTCAGGTGGTACATTCTATAATTTATGTCCTAAACTACATAATTATACTACAGAAACTGCTTTTGTAAATTGCTACACGGTTTAGTTGAATACTCAATGCTGATTGGTCAATTTGGACATTCCAGAGGTTGTTATATTTCGATAACAGACCGTTGCTAAGGAGAGCAGACCGTTACTAAGGAGAGCAGAACGTTGCTAAGGAGTCTGCAGAAAGAAGTAAAAAAAAAAAAGAAGTTATTTGTTGTACTTGATAGCACTTTCTTTATAGGGATGGTGTGCAAAATGAACTTTGGAGAGGCAGATCCATAACAATACTGCTCCCTGATTGGTTAAAGGAAAGCAGGAAGTGGGAGGGGCTAATGTGAGGGGTGTCATTCAGGGAACTAAGCCAGAAAATGACGAACACATTTTTACATATTTGCTCCAGTTTCCTTTGGTTAACAACAACACCGACTATAAAATATACTTGAATGCATCGCCTTATCACACATGCATGGCAACCAGACAATATCTCGTGTCGTTTAGCATTAAGCTGTCAAACATCTCCTCTTGTAAAACAACCCCAAACAATTTGATGGTGGAAAGCGAAGCCAATCATTAAAAGAAAAACATCAAATCTGTGCCGTCTAAATGACACATGTTGCTCCGCCGTTCAGAGGGCAAGTCATTCAGCATTCAACACACTTCAAAGCCCGTTGAGATTGTGCCAAACAAGCTCAGTCTCTTGGTTTTCTTGTTGTAATTTTAGTGCGTGATGAAAGGTAAAGTAGCAACACTTATTTACCTGTTACTCAATGAGCCAAAGGTGCAGCCACAGATGTTTTTGTTTCCAACGTCTGTCTCAGCGATGCTACTCCTATGACTATCTGATAAATGCTTACCTATGGGTCTCAGCGTTAATGGAAAATATCAAATAACTCCATACTAACGACATAAACCCGTTAATTAAAGCAGAAGTTAGAGTCAAGGTGAGTGTGTTTCCTTAATTGGATTTTCCATGGTGCATTCAGGTGAGACTTTGAGAGACAGATCGTAAACAGGCAACGATAAGGAATGTGGGAAAACTATGATTTGAGTCATAGACAGAGGCATTGGAACAAATATAGACAAGAAAACCAATAACAAACCCTACTGAATACATGTAGAAAAAGTGTCTTTCTGCACCTTTAATGCGAATCTACTGTTCTACTGTAGATAAGCCAAAACAAAGTCAGTGACACAATCAGTTTTTCCACTCGGATGTGATTTATATCGGAGTAATGCCTCCCTTAATTTATGTAAGCTCCCCTGACCCTTGCTCGTCAATTTAAGTGCAATGCCAGGTAACGTTTGTGCATGAGTTGAATGGATTCACTCACATGTGAGGGGACACAACGGGAGGATCCAGTGTGCAGCAGTGACAGGAAACTGGCTGTTTGCCCTCGCTCTGCACTGCCAAAGTAAACAGGTGAGCTTCTCATCTCTTCACACCTCTGCCAGCTGCTGACAGAGAGTCACATGGAACAGAATCAAGCAGAAGCACATCAAAAAAGAACCACGGACAATCGCTTACAGATGTTTTGATAGCCTTATCAAACTTTTCAGACACAACTTGTAGGTGATGGAATATGCAAAGGTGGGATGTTTCTTGAGAGCAGAAAGAAGAGATCAAGTGCAGCGCTGCCTTGTTTACATTCCTACACTCAACATGTCCCGTTTGACACCACAAATCAATTTCAGAAAGGGGAGATGAAGTGGGGAAGAACTCGTGAAATTCAAACAATTCTCTGATGTATTTTCCAATTCGCTTGACCTCTCGATAGGGTCAACAGCCCTACGTCAGTCACGGCGAGACGACTGTGTGTTTATTTTGTTTTTCCGCCACGTTTGTCACATATTTGCGCTGGAAAACAGACCCTTTGCAGCTGCATGCTGGGAACCCAAGATGTGATACAAGCAGCACAAAACCTGGCCATCAGAAACTGACAACCTTTGAACTGTCACTCCTGGAAACAGCTAAACAAGACGTGTCACGCTAAAGAAGCTGGCGTGTAAGCAGACATTTTGAAGGTCATGCAACATAGGAACCACAGACTTATTCTTTATTAAGAAGCATTCTGACCGTACAAATCTACACACACACACACTGTGCACGTTCACACACACACTCACACCTTTACCCACGCAGCAGTGACTTCAAAAGGAACAAGGAGATAAAACAAAATGAATTGCAGACACATCAAGACTCCCATGCCCTTTAAAGCTTAATTATACCTGTTGGAGCGATGAGAGACACATCACAGAACCTAGTGATTAATAAACAAACGCCGCATCCCATAAAGCGTCTGACAAGTCCCTGCTCATCGCCCTTCACACTCACAGTCTGCGCTCAGGTGGAGTGTGCATATCAAAGTGTATCAAACAGAGTGAAGTTAGCCCACATTGGCCCAGGTTTAACCCCCCATCCTCACTGCCTGGACTTCTTTGCAATCCTGGCACCTGCCCTTTTGAGAATGTACTTTTTCTTATATACAAATCAATGAAATCATCTAACACAAACAACAAAAAATCCAAATCTGTGTCTTATTCACAATATGTAAAGTTTAAGAGTTGCTTTTATAAGGTTGTGCCTAATTATGACATATGTGAATTATATTGTAATATATTCATATTCATCCGTTTAGATTCACAACCCTGACCGTTATTTTTTATATATTTACTGTTTTTATGTGTACCTCTTAATGCGTGTATATGTGTGTATGTATGAGGATGTTTGTGTATAGATATATAAGTGGGTGTACAGGTGTGTATGTATGTATATATACATACAGTATATGTATATATTCTTTATTTGTATTCTTTGGGATCTCCTTGTCTGAGGAATTGACAATAAAGTTAACTTTGACTTTGATTAAACACATTGGTTGGCACATAGTAATAGTGTCTAGTAAAACTTCTTATTGTTATTTCTGAGGCATAATCTGAATGTCTTTACGGAGAAGGTGATTTCTTTGCATGTAGCGTTAATGAACCGTAGCAGTGTTTGAATACATACATTTTAATATCCCTTAAACACAAAAAAGTAGTTATTCCAGGAATAGATTCATGTAAAAGTGACGTGCCTGCTTCTCCTCCACCTGTCCGTCTGAAAAACCTTGATGAGACACATTTGCACTTCCAGTCTTTCATCTTTCCGGATCACTCGACTCAGGCTTTGTACCCGCCGACGTGGTAAGTGTCGCGTTTTTTGTAAACAGACACACCTTTTGTGAAAGAGAGATGAAGTTACTAACTGCTAGAAGTGAGGGAAGAAGGAGGCTGACCCCAAACTAAGGGCATATTAGATTGCCCTTTAGTCTTGAAAGGGGTTAAACGTGTCGAGTGAGAGCCGGCACAGTGAGCAGTTCTTGAAGAAGTTGTCAAAAATCTCAGCAGTAATACTTATTTTAGAGCTGTAAAGGTGTGCAATGAGTTTCTTGTTGCTAATTATCTCTATGAGGAACTCAGAGTATTCACCTGAGCCTTCATTACAGAGGTTGTGTTATTTATGTCACTTTTCTTTATTGCTGC